TTCCTTGAGCGCGATATATTATATTGTTACATAAGTTTATTATATTGTGTTAACATAAAATATATTAAAAAATGAAGAGCAATTAAAAATGGAGAACAATCGTTTGCATTAACTCGTTCTTATCTCGAGAGTTTATATTATCTTAGTGTTGATCATGAGAACCACTTCCTAATGAATGCGCCAGAGGTGTCAGAGCAGCAACTGTCAAAACACGACCGACAAGACGACGATCGTGCCATCGAGTGCACGACGGAGATAAACGACAGCAGACCGAGAGAAAGACAGAGCGGACCTTTTCACGCCATATTGGATATACCTTCAAAACAGTGCATGCCACTGAAGCCTATCGATAATCGCGACACCCATCCCTTTATTCCATCGAAATTCTCGCAGGCGCGTGTACGTTGCGGACAAAACAGACAGTTGTTACGGGGTAGCGTTTTTCAGTCTCCCTCCTCTTATCGCGCCCTCTTGTCGAGTTATTGTCGGTGCGATCCTCTGGTCAAGTAAACCAACGTTTTTCCACGAATAGACTAAAACCTCACAACTTCGTTTAATATTTTTTCTGTCTTTTTCCTCTTTTAGAAATATAAATAATAAATATTATATAAATAAATATGTGATGATGTTCGATTATTGATCAACATTTTATGTTGCGTATGGATTATTTAATCATTGAAATTTTTATCTTTTCGCAGCTATGTTACTTTTCGTTAGCGTGCTAGTGAAAAAGGTAAATTAATTGTTCGTATTTTTTGTATAAAAAGAATTTTTACTTGTTTAAATCTATATTTTTAAAGATGATTTAAATTGAATGATATTATTTCCTAAATCATACATCATTCATTTAGTAAATTATAAAATCTTGGTTGATTCATGTTGGGTAGTCGCTTAAAAATCTTTTCATGTAATCTTTGATACGAAGTGAAAAAGGATTTAACGTATCATAGAAACAACACGTTGCCACGTCAAACACAGGTTCCATGATTTCTCTTAAAAGTCACCGGCTGAAAGCCACCGCGACAAGCCTGAGAGCGCTACGTAAAAGTTCGCGTATTGCTCCATTCCCCGCATCCCGACGACTCCATCTTCGTGTCTGGAAATCTATCCAGCTGCCGAGCGCCAACGAAGGGGAGAGACGAGGTGAACGTGCGATAGAAGAGGAAGAAGATATGAGAGATGGAGGCAGGAGCGGAGAGAGAGAGAGAGAGAGAGAGAGAGAAAGTGGTCGCATATGGAGGTATCAGGCAGGGTGGAGTCGACGTTGAGAGAGAACTTAGGCGTGCGCCCTGAGCATATCGGCTTTTCGGGAGAGTCTTGGTCGATGTTCCCTGGTTCCTGGTTAACCCGCAGGATCGGTTACAAGGCGACCCGGCCAGCCGATTGGTTCATTTTGTCAGCGACACCCGCCCACATCGTGTTATCGCGCAACCACTCTGTCTGTCTGCCTCTCTCTCTCTCTCTCTCTCTCTCTCTCTCTCTCTCTCTCTCTCTCTCTTTTGTAACTCGTCTCTCTGTTTTAACCGCCTCTCCTCTGCTTCTCTCTATCTTGTTTCTATCTGTCTCGCTATGCTTATCTCTCCATTCGTCTCTCTGTCTCTCATCATCGATAATCCGGTCTTCCCTCACCGCGTTCTAACACGCGTTTCGTGGCTAACTCGAGTCTACCGGCTCACTTTTGACCTTCAACGAAAAGAAAAAAATAATGAAATAAAAGATCGTCTGGACACGACTCTAAGATTGTTAACGGCCGATGACTTTGCAATTTTTCAACCTGGCCTGGCGTAGAAGCCGTGCGACGTGCGAACCTGTGGGAAGGACGGGACTATTTCAGCAATAACGCTCCTTCTTGCGCAGTATCGTTTTAATCGTGGTGCGACACGCGAGTATAATGAGAAATTGCTAATGAGAGGTTTTATAAATAAAATAATAATTACCATTTCGGGACGCATACATTTTTCAACGTCGTACAATACGAGAGTAAACGCGCGTGTTCCACTTGTGATAGTGATTTCGTTATCACGGGATCGTGTGTCCGGCGTTGTCGAATCGCGCGGCGTAAATGTTAAGCCATTTTAATGCATCGATGCGTTTAACACGTTTCGTGGATTATGCGCGAAATTTGCCACTCCGTTTAACAGTCAGGACCGGATAGGATGTATAATGGATGCGAGGATGCGGACAAAATACTCATGATGGTCTGTTGTAATGTCATAATAATCTGTTAATATATTTTCGCGCGAACGTATGTACAAGCGCAAATAATAATAATAATAATAATATTATTAATAATATTAATAATAATAATAATGCTTCATTTCTTTTTTATATATTTATATATGTATAATTTCGTATCGATAGTCTTTAGGTAAATTACGTGAGTCTTTTACCTATAGTAAATGTATATATACACACACACACACACACACACATATATATATATATGTATGTATGTATGTATATTGTATGTATAGTACACACACACACACACACACACACACACACACACACACACACACACACGTATATATATATGTATGTATGTATGTATATTGTATGTATAGTACACACACACACACACACACACACACACACACACACACACACACACACAAATGTATATATATGTATGTATGTATGTATATTGTATGTATAGTGTACGTACTGTCATAATATGTTCATATTTATAAGACGGATTATACAAGAATTTTGCTAATCGAGTCTATCTACAAAGAGGAGGGTGAAAGCGGGAGGTTCCTATCATCTCGCCTTAATAGGATCGATTAGCCATACTCGGCCTCGAAATTCTCTTCTACGCTCTTTTTATTCCCAGAGTGTGATCCCAAAGAGCCAGGCGATTAATGAAATATACAATGTCGCTAGTTTCTACTTAACCTAACGGGAAGGGAATTGGCAGGGGAGGAGGGTAAATTGGCTCGCTTCGAGTATCGCACTCTTTTCTATAAAATAAAAGTCATGTTTTTTCTCTCGTTCAAACCCGAGCCGTTCTTATAGTTTTATCTAAAATATGAAGCTTTTTCTCATTCTTCAAAAGATGAAGAATTACACTGATATAGAACACATGTACAATCATATAATAATAATATGGATAATCGAGACATAAACAATTATGCTACGAATGTAACTGAAGTCTTAAAATGGTATTACAAATGCACAAAATCAAAATCATGAGGAAGAGACTATAGACATTTTGGACTCTTCTTATATGTATATAAACAATAAATAAAAAAAGAAGAATCGCAGAACGTTTAGGTTTATGAAAGTGTGTCAGAATAATTTTTGAAATACAAAAAGAAAGCGGTAATGGAATGTATATATTTTATAAATGAAAATCATGAATGAAAATTATAGCAGAAAAAAAAGCACGTGTAATTATATTTGATACTTGGTTTTTTGAAAACTTTGAAGTTTTCTAAAATATCTGATAACGGTATAGATTTCTTAGCACAAAGAAGAGAGCTATTAAGAAAAAGAAATAGGTCTTATTGGTGACCTCAGTAATATGATTCAGCACATACAATGTTGTTGTGTATTTTCATTCATTTTAAACAAAAGAGAGAAATATAAAATAAAAAAGAACTGCTCTTGGGTATTAGAGAATATTTCATTGCAGCGACATTTTCCAATTTCTCAAATATCGATATCGTAACGCAGTGGTTTCTGTCTCTAGATATTGAGGATTCGTGTTTTCTGCGCATCGGCCATCGAGACTTACGATGAAAACATTACCGTAGCGAGTCCAACTTCGAGTTTTCTCGCATTTTCATTTTATCGTCTTGTAGGTTGGTTTGCTACTTTGACATCCGATGCCGGCAAAATACAGGATTTTCATATATATAAGAAATTAATACTTTAGCATAAAGAAATTTATGTAGAAAGGAAATCATAGAATTTCTTTAAAAAAATTTCTTTAATTAAATAATTTCAAAATCTCATGAACATGATATTGAAAAGTTTTTAATCATATAATTCATTTCTTGAGTTAAATACTTTCTTTATCTACTTCAAACATTATACATTTTGTATAATTGCAACTGAAACGTTCAACATAATATTATTTTATAACATATATGTAATCCATACAAGTGCGCATATTATAATATATGCACATTAGTATATATATATATGTATATTATATATAGTGTAGATAACACAGAAAAATGAAAATTAAATATATTTTTGAAAGCGTTTACTTCTCTCATGAAAATCCTGTACAATTCGCTGGTTGATCAATCAATCTTGGAGATTATTCACGATAGAGAATATCAACTAGAAAGCGGCGCTATTTACAAACTATAAGACTCACTGCATCTGGTTCTTGGATTTCGATGAACGAATTGGGAACGTCCAACGGAAGTTATGTACACGCTCTGATCATTTGTTTTTTTTTTTTAATCCGAGAGATTGCACTTATTTAGCGGATTTGCACTCACTTTTCGAAACGTTTATTTCCGCATTTTATAAGAGCGTCCTATCACACACCACCAAATGAATTCTTGCTAAGATTCATAGTGTAGTAACTTTTCATGTCTCCGAGTAGAACTTTCGGCAATGTATCTATGTACTGGTATCGTTGATTCTTCTTCGCGTGCATTATTTCTAGCTCCTTAGATCTGTTTTTCAGTAAAGCTAACTATTGTTGTGGAAGAAAGTCATCTTGTTAGATATTGATTCATCTTGTATCTATCTTTGAATAATCTCCTAAGTAACCTTATTGATCTTAGTCCGTTTCGTTATATCGGTCCTCACGAAACTGCGAAAAGTTCCTTTAGAATGTTGGATCTGCGATACCACGCACACTTATAATTTTCTAGACACAACCGATTCTTCCCTGTGATCCATGATGTTTCTTCTCAAAACCCCCGCCTTCACAACACCTCGAAACTCTCATTCACGACGTCACCGCACCTATAGCTCTTTTTCGACATTAAACGATTATCTATATCGACGGCGTTTTGCGATTCGTCGTCCTTGTCGTATCACGCAGGCGAAAAGGGCCTATGGATCTGCGGTCTCGGATTCGCGGGTGGTGGCGTTGCGACCCTTATCAATCCTTGACCTTGGGACTGACCCTGAGGTGTTGGTTGACGGGGAGGTGGGCTTCCTCGAGACGAGGGAGTATGCGGGCTAGGTACAGCCACCCTCAGCGGACCGGTGACTGATAGGTTTGCCGCCATCAATGGTGGGCTGTGGGCCTCCGATAAGCTATCCGAAAGACGAGATAACCCACCGTCCGATAATCGCGACGTTTCGGATATCCTAGATATTCCCTCGGACAGCTGATGCTGGGGGTGCGGGTGATGTAGCAGGCCTTCGTGTGGATGCAATCTTGGCGGTGGCAAACCCAGCGAATCCGGCAGTCTGTAATAGAGTAAAGAAAGAACTGCATTTTCTCTGGAGAAAATACAGTTTAGCAGAATCGCGGTCTATTATGCGACATTTTATTATTGTAATAGTATATAATATAATATCAATTTACATATAATTTATATGGATGTATAAATTCTTGAATAGAAATCAGTGAGAGTAAACAATAAAATATCTTGAAAAAAAAATTCATGAAAAGAAATTAGCTGCTAAAACTTACCTCGTCGTCGGATCACCTCTGGGTCCTACAGCCTGGAAAGGACTCGACTCCGTGAACCTGAAAATCCCACCACCCGGCATATTCGGATGATTAGGTTGCGGGCTATGCGGTCCAAATCGGAAGCTCGTCGGTGGGAACTTGAAAGCCGTCGTATGACCGAATCGAAAATGCGTCTGCGTAGGATCGAAACGGAAATTCAAAGAGGGTGGTGGCAAAGGTCCGAGAGATCCAAGCGGTACTGGAGACGGTTGGTGGTTCGGTGGTGGCGAGGAACTTGGCGATGGCGGTGATGTTCCTCCGAGGGAAATGTCGGACTCTTCGCTGCTGCTGCCGCCGGGTCCCGGACTCAGAGTACGCCGCGCGTTTCCGTTTCCTTGACCCGACTGTTGCTGCATTCTGCTACAAATAACGTATAATTCGCGGTTATTAACTGATATTATCGGTATATTAAAACAAGATTTAGGAATCATAAAACGGTTGTCGTTCGATAAGAGCATTCAGTATTTTAGTAAACGAAGGAAAGTAATCAAAGGAAGACAACAAGCAATTTAATGTAGAAATAAAACTTTGTATAAACTTTAATAAATAATAGATGCGATAGAGAATATGACATCATTAGAACTTATCAATAGTTCAGATTCTCTGAAATTACACATAAAAAGTAATATACAAAAAAAATTAAGCAGTATACATATATTTAAATAAAACAATATAATACGAGGGAGAGATGAGAAGAAAAAAGAAACGCAGCGAGAAATTATAATTATAATATTACTAAAAATTCTAAAGTCACGGCGTATTAATCCACATGCCGTATTTAATTTCGAAACAAAATGAATAAAAAGGAATGAATAGAAAAAAAGCATCGTTGACTGCATGAAGTCTAAATCGCTTTATAGCTTTTCAACAAGGGCGAAGGCGCGTGTGGTCGCGATGGGAATTTTAATTCGTTCCCGCTTTAGGTGGCACATAAGTTGTGGACGTGGTGGATATGCGCAGTACTGAAAACACTTTGTTTCCAGTCATCGCCGCGCAGAGAGCGCAGCCGTAATTAATGAGCGCGCTCATCCTTCCCAGGTGGAGGATTCACGGGAGAGTAACGACGATCTCCCGACGACGGGGCTCTCGCATAAAAGAGGGGATCCACCTCATTACTCGGCAGATCACGTATAGATATGGGAAAACATGGTAAACTTCACACGCGCGCGAAATGACGAATGACCGTGCGTTAGGGTAGCCGAGGTGTTGGGTGTATCGTTGGAACGGAAAAGATATTATTAAGTCGATCTTACACTACTCTGTCTTGTGATGCTTCTCCTAGTGGCAATTAAGAATTTATGTGATATCCCAGACTGGATTGATATTAACTTGTTAAGAGCTTTAAGCCTCGCGAGATCACGCGCGATTTCTATCTTGGAAATCAGGTTTATCGAATCGTGAATAGTCTGATTGATCACGGAATTCCACGACGAGAATACGAACGTTGAAGTCGCGCCGGAAGTGGCGGAAAACGGAGGTCGACTCGATAAATGTCATCGAGAAAACCCGTTATTTCGAAAGTAGACGATCGTGTTTATCGCCTATTGACTTGCGATTGCATGATGGGAGGAAGGAGGGAGAAAAACCACCCCCACTTGGAAATACAAGGATGAAGAGCGCGAGAGTCGTTCGCCATTCTGTTAAAGACAATGAGGCGTCGCGGTCGTCTTAAAAGCCTCTCGGCCGCAGATCGATCCTGTAGCGAGGCTTCCGAGATCCTCTCGTATTTTCTTTGCTAATCGAGTCTCGACTCGGACCCGTACTGTTACCACGGTAACGCCTCCTCGAGAGGCGGAAACGTCGGATTGTTCGACTTGTTTCTGTCTCTTTCTCGCGATCAGGAAAAAAAAATCCGATTGCGGATGAACGGTAACCCCGAGACGAGAATCATTCGTTCCCGAGAAACGCGTTCACGATGCAGATCGATCTCATTCGCAATATCTACAATTTTTAATTCCACCGAGAGAGATAATAAGATTATTGCAGTATTCCTGTTATTGTACGAAGTTAAGTGTTTTAGTACAACATTTTGATTAAAACTGGTGCTTGTGTGTCCTTTAAAATAAATGCTGCAATTATCATTCTGCAGAAAAGAGATCTGAGCAGTGGCAAAAAAAGAAATTAATGATATTTTTTACGACCCTTATCACGCTCGAAATATGAATTCTGGCTTCATCTAAGGTTATTTAATTAACACCATAAAAATACGTCTTGCATTTTACGTGAATATTCATGTAAGCTCCCTTTTCATCGCGTCTAATGGCGTACTCAGTTAGATTAATATGACACGTCTGCGTAGAGGCGAATCCTTCCGACGCGACGGTGGTGTTGAAATAATCTCCGATCGTACGTATCAGGTACCGCGCGACTGAAGAGCTAAAAAGTACGCGATGTGTTAATCAGATGAAATAGCGTCATGTTCTTGCCAACGCAATCGGGACTTGATCGTGGCTGAATTATACTCGTGAATAATGAAATAACCGACCGTGAATACACGCGCCGTTCGATTTTGATTTTGCGCGAGCACGGTCATGGTACAAAAGACAAGAGCCGGCTATTAACACATGATTCAAGATCTGCTATCACAAGCGGGAATGAATCGAGTTCCGTTTTATTACTTGTGCTTTCAATTCTCTGTTCACTTATCTTTCGTTTGTTATCTGATATATCTGTTCCGCCCTTATATATTATATATCCATTTATATCCCTCTGATTTTTCAGAGGCCCTGCCTGCAACTTTTTAATACATATACATACGTTATGTTTTACCAACACTTGAATTCATATTTTCTTATTTATTGCTTCGTCGACGCAGCAAATAATACGTGTACAGTTTTCATACTTTTGTAAGTTTCGCTTTTTTTTTTCCTCGTCTTATTCTTTCACCCACGCCATCGCCTTTCTCTTCGTCCCCATATGCGAGACATCCGACGCGTTTTAATTATGCTCCTGGACCGCTGGCCTTTATCTTCGCCCTTTCACGAGATACCCGCACGAGGCGGCACGACTTATTATGTGCCGGGGCCTTCCGTCCCGTCCCACACGGTGTTCCACGGTGATCATCCATTGAGATCGTCTTAATGTCGTGGCATTAAAGCGCGAGGACTCGGGTGTCAATTTTTCGGCACACATAAAAGGAGCATTAAAGCTCTGCGGTTTAAATTTCGATGTGCCGTGTAGCGCTACGCTCCGTAATAATTGCGTTTCGATAAGCGAGAAATCGAAGGGTTTCGATATTTGCAGCGACAGCAACGTTGCCCGTATCAATGCAATGATTTCTTCACTTCAGTGGGTTTTCATACCAAATTGAAGTAATTCATAAATTAATATGATATTCTGAGTTACACAAAGAGAGAAAATTATGTAAATTAAAATACTGAATTTCAAACAACTTGAGGCGTTAAATGAAAGGACGATACTCCTGCAGATAAATTCGAGATATTTTTCTGTTGTAACTGGGAATATTATCCTTGACATTTAGCTGGTATTTGATTTTCACTCTTCAATTATAATAGTTGAAGCGATGAAATATTGTATTCAATCGTCGTTTAATCCGATCATCTGTATGCCTTCAATCCATTAAATCAGCATGCTCATAATGCTTGTTTCACAGAGTTATTACTTATGAATTTACACATCTTCGTAATATCTTTTAAATATTTCTATCAACGCTAATAAGGGATTAAACGCGGATCCATCGGGCAGCCAGTTGTAGAATAATTTACGATCGAATTATGCCAATCTCCTCTCTTCTCGGAGACCAACATTAAACTTTCCGCTCATCGATGTTCGGAAAAAGATTAATGAAGCGTATGTCATTATAATTACCATCCGGATCAGTAAATATACTTTTTGCACTTATACATTGTCTTAACGTTGATAATCTCGTTTACAAAACAACACAAAAATTAAGACAATTCTAATAAAGGATAACAAAAATAAATCTCTTTATGCGCAGATATAAAAGAAAGATAATGTTTGATATGATTTTCTTAGTTTTTAAATTCTCAAAAATATGTTCATAACGGCTCGGTTAGACTCGAAGATAAATTTTCGTTTAAACTCATCCGAATAAAGATGCGTAACGCGAACTCAATTCGCCTCTCCGCGGTTCAACTTTTTTTTTCCGCATGCACTAAAAACGATTTCGTATGCACTTCGTTATGCATTTACGCGTTTCTCGTGCACTCGCGCGCGCGCGCGCGAATTCGCGTGGCGAATCGCACCGCCGAAAGAGCCGCGCGATGGCAAAGGCCAACAGGTGACGTTGTACTTTCGGCGCGAGACGCGGCGGTGATTAAAAAAGAAATTCATCAGCGCGTCGGGGGAAAGTATCAGGTGCAACAGCGACGGACGAGAGGGGGACGGTTGCACCGTCGCCGTTAAAGTATTTATGCCGCATGACGAGTCACTTTTGGAATCCCGCCGTATATTATAAAGTATTATGCACGGGGACGATGACCAGGGCTCAAACCGTGACGGAAGCTACTGTAATTACGCGCAAGATGGTCGTGCGTAGCCGACGTTGGTAGCCTCCATTGATCCCCGATCGAGAAACACGCGGTGAAAGGTGTGCAGCTTTTGTCCCGAACCTCGGGGAGACAAGTGTCCGGCTTTATTCGAATTATTCGGAATTACGCTGAGAAATTGCATCGCCGATGCCATCCTCATGATTCTCGTTTCAATCGTCACGCTCATATGTAATAGCGTAGGTTTAATCTTGACACTCGGCTAGATTGCTATTTTTAGAAGATTGAGAATTAACATGCAAAGTGCTAATTTATTTATAACACGTTCTTTATGAATATCAACAATCTATGTATTTTTTTATATTGTTTAGTTTTTATATTGTAGTATTAATAAGTATTAGTATTAATAAACTGATTACGCTATATAATTATTGAACTTTGAAATCATTCGTGTACAATATAATAAAAAATCCACATCGCGTTATAATTAACTGTACTTGCTAGATGACCGTGCTGATGTATTATTCGCCTTGCTCGACTCTTCGAGTTGAAATCACAGCATCGCCAAATCAACGTAATTACGATTTCGTTTCTCTCTCTCTCTCTCTCTCTCTCTCTCTCTCTCTCTCTCTTTGTAGAGCGTAAAAAAAAGCGATCGATTTCAAATCTAATATCACGAACGGATCTATCTTGAAAGTTTCGCGAGACTGACGAGGGATATCATTTTAACAAAATCTACCCCGGTGTCAAGGGACACTGTGGATTTTGGTGCGCGAGACCAATTTCCCTCCTTTTTACCCCTCCCTCCCCCCTTCTTGTATGGACCCCTAATTCGGACCAACCCCGTGCCGATGCTAAATACCCGGTGCGTACAATGGAGTACATATCGTT